AAAATGTTCTCATGTTTTTCCTAGAAACCAAAAATGATCAAAAACTTTAAAAGTTTACTTAATTGATTCTCATTTTAAATAAATAAAAAAAAAAATTAAAATATTCTTTTACCATATTAAAAACTTTACAAATCAATATAGTTAACCTAAAAATTATCAATTTTAAATATAATTTTTGTATTTAATCAGAAAGAACAAAAATAAAAATTAGGTTAACCATTTTTAAAACTTTTGATAAATTATAAAACAAAGGGATCAAAAAGAGTCAATCATAAATAATTTTTGTTTTAATTTTTTTCCCCTCATTTTGAATACCATATTAAGTATTAAGGTTTTAATAAAAAAAATAATATAAAATAAACGGCTATATAAGGAATGGTAATTCTCGTAGCATACTTGCCAATTCAACCATTACTGATTTATGATGAAAATGGGTTTAAGTTCTTTTCGAGTTGTTAGAATAAAGTATTTAGAAGACAAAAGAACCAATCAGCCAAAAAATTTTTGAAAAATTTTTTTAATTGGAATTTATGGTAAATTTGGTTAAATTATTGATAATTTTTATAATTCAAATTTATTGTTTTAATATAGAAACAAATGTACAAATCAGTTTTTCAGCAGTATTTCAATACAAAAAAAAAACAGAATTCATAAAAAATATTAGTTACTTAATGTGTAAAGAAAAGGTTTCAATTTTCAATTGTAAAAAATTTTATTAAAACTTGGAAAAGTTTTGAAATCCTATGTCATTGATTTTTTAAAAAATTCTTACATTCTAATATATTTTATAGATTTGGATTTAAAATAATAGTGCAACTCAATGAATAACATCTACACCAAATTAAATTTCACAATTCATATTGTTGAATAAAGAATCGTACAGCAGGTTTGGCGAATATCCCCGATAGCCCGAATTTTATATTTTCGAGAGCTACGACTAAAACTGTATTAAAAAGTTAACTTATCCAAAACTTCAGATTACAAATTATATCCGTATTAAGAGTAATACAAAATGCTTCCTATGAACCCTAATATCAGTTGCCAATATAGTCCCATTAGTGCAGTTTTTGATGAGCCATATCATCAAAAAATTTATTATAGTGTTGCGTTTACTCTTTTTAAATTTATTTTCAGTAATTAAGAAGACATTTTGAAATGGAAACATAATGATTTTTTACAATTTTTTTAACAAAACAAAAAATACTGAACAAAGAACTCGAGCGTATTTGGCAAGAACGACAAAAAATTCTTCAAAGAGCCAGCATGTGGCTCACGAGTTTGGTCACCATTATCGCAAATTAATCATCAATTCACATTTTGTAGTATTGTAAGTTTATTTAAGATACTCGTAATTTGAATTTTTCAATTTCACTATAATTTTGAAAATTGAATCAATTCCATTTCGATTAATTGATTTGAAACTTTATTTCAAATATAGTTCACCTAATATAGAAGAAAAACTTTAAAACCCTCTCCTGCAAAATTTTATTTCTTATGCTCATAATGTTTTAGTAACAGGATGTCAATACACGTTCTATTGGGTTGAACCTAGTGGAAGTCCAATTAATTTCTTTTAAATAAAATATTTTTAAATTTTTAAATGATCCATTACCCACATAAAATTATTTTTTATTATAATTCTTATACACATATACATATAGTGACCATAATTTCTATCCATCATGTTTGCAATAACAATTCTGGGTAGTAAACATTCATTATACATATAATATGCATATTTGTGTTTATATTTACATAAGTACTACGTACTTATACTTATCTCTTAAAGATTTTTAAAGTGGGAAGTGAAAATTCTCAAAAGAAAAACAAAAATAATCTTTTCATATATGACCTTTACACAATTAAAAATTTAAATTTAATATTATGTATAACTGCATTAACACTGGCATATAAGCAACATGTTTTTATATAAATTTTAAGAATACAATACCCCGGAAACTTTATAACTGTATAGGACAATAATTTCAGTTTGCATAACATTTAAAGAAAAAAAAACATATGCATATTTAGATAAAGTTATTCTCAAAGTCAAAGAGCAACAAAAAAAAGAAAATTTCTTAATTCTTGTAAAAAAAAACAAAAACAAAAAAATCATTATGCCATACTTTATATATGATAATTTTATTTTGCTTTTTTGCATATGCTACAGTACTCTTGCATTTGCATACATTTGATGTTCTCTGTTCTTATACATTTTAAATAATACTTGGTATCTTCGTATTTTAATACAGGGTTTGTCTTATCCAAGTATCCAATTATTATGAAGACTCTTATGACTAAGTATAACTTCATTTCTATTAATCAAGAAAAGAATGTTGAAATCAAGCCGTATCAAACCGTATGATATTTTTCAGGTTGTCAAAAGTTGCAAATGTTAAAGAAACTTGATGGATAAGTTGAAAATTTGCATAACACAAGAAAGAAACTATTAAATATTTTTTGAGGCATTGAACATAAAGCATTGATATTAGAAACATTTGTAGTACTTCCTTTATCCCAATAATATTTGAATTCTGGCAGGTAGAAGGGTGATTGAAATTAAAATTCAGTTAAAAGAGTTGTCAGCCGTGCTACAATTAGAGAAAATTATAATATTGCGTCACATAAATAAATTAACGTTTTTTTAAAAATTAAAAGTTAAAAATTCCATAAATTAATTTTGAAGTTGTATTTAATCATTCGCCTTTTCCACAAACACCCGAAATTATACTTAAAGTTTCAAAAAGTTTCGAAAACAGTTGAGACACTGAGTTTAACTGTTTGTAGCTCGAAATCTATTGAGCAATAAACATTTTCTTCATACAACAGTTTTACTTACTTATGAGGGCGTATATATAATGCAGACACGCTGTAAGTATTTATAAATATTGAATATAATAAGATTTTTGCAACATGAATTTTAAATCAGTCCTACTATATGTACAAGATAGATGAAGACGATGTAGTTTAAAAAATCATGAATTTTATGAAAACAAAATTTTGTATAAATAGCATGATAGAAGATGAGACAATGTTACAACTTGAATTGCTTAATAAGTGTTCAACACAATATTTTTATAAAAAATGTTTGTAATGAAAATATATAGACGAAATAAAATTATGTAAGTATGTATACATATATAAAAGCGGTAAATATGGGGAGTATACAATTGTATTTGTGTAGAAAATATTAAAGATTATTTTGCTATAAAAAATAAGAAAAATATTTGTATTAAATTTAATTTTATTGTAGATGCTATGCGTAGGTCCACTGAAAAGTTATGGAACAAATCTACGCGTACAAATTGATTTATCTTTGTCGATGCTATATAATATATACTCTGTTTATGTATTGGAAGTTCATCCGATAATTCAACATATCACCACTTAATTTTATTTAGTTTTGACTGGTTTTGATTTTATAAAAGTGTCAAATTTTTGTAAAAATTTAATTACTTATGTTTAACTTTTTGTTATATCTAGGTGTACTTTTTACAAATTTTCAATTTATATATAAATATTTCTGAATTACAAAATATTTCAGTGATAATTAATGATATTAAAGATGATAAAAATGCTGTTGTTAGATCAAATATGTTAATTATTATTAATAAACTAAAAAATGTTTTAATCAAAAGTTGAGAATTTTATATTTAAAAATTAGGAATTCTCACCTATTTATTTGAACTTATTTTATTTGAATTTGCTTAATTATTACGAAATTTCTATACGTGCGTGGTGATAGAAACTTCAATTATGCCAATAAAAAACTCCAGTACATTTAAAATTTATCTCCCCAGGTATATAGTTCTCAATTTTATTAAAAAATTATGACTGATAAGAACTTATATTGCCTCATAGCTATAAAGGGCGTTAACTTTTGAGAAATAGAAGACATTATTAATAAATATTTTATTTTACTAAACCAAAATTTTTTTACTTCATTATCTCACCTCTAATTTGCTAGTTCCATTCCTCAAAAATTATATAACAATTATTTCTTATTTTCTTTTTCTCAGAACCTATTAACTTTACTAAATTTCTTATTGCTAGAACTTGATGTAAATTTTTTTATTTAATAGCAAAATACCGTTTATTTTTTACATTTTATTTTCTTACAAAACTTTTTTTAGTCGATCTATACAGGTCGACTTAAATCTGCTTGTTTTGCTTTGCAGTTGATTAACATATCGTATTCAGATTTTATATATAATGTGCTATTATTGCAATCACCTAATAGCGTATATGAAGCTCAAATACGAGTATATCTGTTAAAAATAATTTAAATAACTTATTTTTGATTTCGCAAAAATTGTTATAATTATTTTTATTGTTAAATGTATACCAACAAAATATCATAATTAATTTCTATATTTAATTTGCCACAATATAACCATATTTATACTAATACACCATTAAAGTGTCTACTCGCATTACAAATTAATAAAGACGTTTATTAATTATTCAGTTTTAATATTTTACAATTAATAATTGAAATTAATTTTTGTCGTGATTGAAATATTAAATTATTTCAATGAGTAATTTTAAAATTGGTGGATAATTAGCCTAAATTAATAACTATGAATATTATTATTTTTTTAATTTGAATTTGCTGTGAATCAATTTATGTAACAATTGTGTAAAAATATTTTAAAACCGATAAAAATTGCATTTGTTTTTGACTAGAATGTTTAATTATAAAAGTTTTTTTCTATTAAATAAATATTTTATATTTTTAAATAATTTTTGCTTTAATTTAATATTGTATATCTACTTTTATGAAATTTAAATTTAATTTATAAAAATAATGATCGCCTTTCATGTAGAGAGTAGGTAACTTTGTGAATATGAAACTTTCCGTATTGAAATTCTCTTAAGTAGGATAGTAAAAATTAACCTACAAATTTGAATATTAAAGTTAATGTGACTTTTATGTCCTATATAAAAATAAATATGCGTATAATTGTTAATAAATTAAATAATACAATAATAAAACTTACAAAATTATAATTTGTTGCAGTTGAGATCTTAAACCTGAAATTAGAAAATAAAAATAATTATTTAAAATCTCAAAATTTTTCAAAAACTTCATGGAATAGAAACTTAATACTCATACTATGTATACGTGTAATTAGTAAAACTTAACTTTATTCAGTATAGCCGAAACTATTTTGAGTAAATATTTTGTGCTGTAAGTTGCACTCTTATTTTATAATTTATAAATGCTTTGAAAACTGTTTTCTGAAAAACAGCCCCAGAATTTAAAAACAAAAAATATTTTACTCAATTTCCAAATACTTAAACAGAACACAGTTGATTTTTTTTTCATTTAAAAATTCTTAAAATAATTTACCCTTCCTTATTTTCTTAAGTTTTTTATAATCTCGTTGACTATACAATTTATGTTAAAAACAATAATTTTTAAAACAACATCGACTCTTCATTGCTGTTGTGTATATTCTATGTGATTTTTCTATACCATTCAAGCATTTGGTTTTCTTTAACAAAAGATTATGTTGCAATTTATTATTATATAGTTTTTTCTAATTTTATTTTTTTCATTTTTTATTTGAATTTTGTTTAAATTGCAAAAAACTAAAAAAAACTTACAGTTAATAGTTATACTAAGGTTGTGATTAGAGCATCATCATTTTACCACAAAAATCAGAGAGAAAAAAAATTTTTTCCAAGATTTTAGTTTATTCAGCATTATCACGACAATAATTATCAACCATATTATGATCTTTGTCGTCATCATATCATAATATCATATACATAAACATACACACATCATGTGTTTTTGCATACATGAAAATTGTGTTTTACTATTATTATGTTCGAGTTCGTTAAGAATGAAGTATGAAATCAACAGTAAGGTAAAAACATTACCACTACTACTGTTTATGCAGCATGCCATCAATATATTAACGACAAAGAAATGAATGTATGTGCGACACTAACATAAATTAAGAGAAAAAATTATAGAGATTAAAATTTTTTTTTGTTTTCGAGAGCATGAGGAGCGGATTTTTTTTTTCAATAGAATTTTTCTTTCTTATTGTACGGATGAACATGAAATTGCTATAGAAAAATATCTAAAACAATGTCCGTATACTACTTTGTTATAGCTCAATTATTATACTCGATAGAAAATTTTTCATTCGTTAAACATTGTATTTTCAGGTTGTTAATAAAGGTGCTCATATATCAGTAAAATTTAAAAGGTTTGATAAATTGTTCAACTGCTGTTTACTTTGATATAGTTCACGATGATTTTTTTTTTTGTTTAGTAATTATGTATGCCTTAAGCTACTCTGGAAGAAAAGATATTTTTTTTTAAATTTTTGTTGCTGTTGTTGTGTTTTTGGTTAATTGTTATTAGGTTATAAAATTTCATGCAAATATTTCAAATACATATGTATATTTTAAACAATGAGATCAAAATGAAGTTATACAAGCTTGTCTAATGGGACTTCTTCTTTTGTTAATTGTTGTATTGTTGTTGTTATCATGGTTTTTGTTTTTGTTTTAAGTAATTATAACATTTTTGTTTTTTCCCGATATACATAACTTTTTTCAAAATTTTAATTCTATTGTGAATACCGTAAATTTTAAATATAATTTCGTTTATATTTATGTGGGATAAAATTGTTTTGATTAATTTTTCTTTTTTTGTTTTTTCTTATTATTTAAAGATAAATTATTAATGATTCTGTTGATGATGGCATAATTATTTTTGATTAAACATGCAATTTTAATTATAATGTGGATTGTGTACAATTTATAATATGAAGTACATAGAGTGAAGTTAAAGAAAATTTTTTTTTAAATAGGGGAGAATAGATAAAATTATTCCATTAATTTTATGTTGAAGATTAATTGAATTCTATACACATACATATACATATATAATTGTTTTCTTGTGAAGAATTTTATAAATATAGTCATATATTCAAACCATTATTTATAATTTCTACAGGTTGTTTATATTTTCTACAGGTGCTTTATAAAAACCTATAAATAATATGCTTAGTAAAAACTGAAAATATCGGGCAATCCTTATATTAATTCAAAGCAGGGCATGTGCAATCCTTACAATAATGTCGGAAGGATCAAAAATTATAGGAATTCAGATGTATATCGGAACCCATTTCATATGAAAAATTTTCTATTATGTCTTAAAATAGAAAGAGTTTAAAAGAAAATTTTAATGCAAAATAGATTTTAGTGCCTGTCAAATTATCAAAATTTTTTTTATTGGAAATTATTTATTATATAGGAATACCGAATTCAATGGTGCGTTATGAAAAAATTTTATTGGGCCACATAAAATCAGCCGAATCCGACAAATCTCTATTATGTGTGCTGTTTTGCATATAATTAACGGAATAATTAATAAGATTTATTTATAATGGTTGTCACGATTAATATTTACATAGTTTTCTTGACTTCTAGTACGGTTTCATATTTACAACTATTTCTTCTGCCTCAAAAATTTCTATAATTGTTAAGAAGTCAAGTAATTTACTAAAATTAAAATTAGAATTCAAAGTAGTAATTGTATCAGATGTAAATTATCCTGATTTCCAATAGCTGAGTTCTTTATAATTATACTTCCAAGTAAATTTTCTGGATATGACCAAAGAAAACTAAATTACAAAGCTAACTTTTCTTGTATTAATATTGTAATATTTCATACTCGTATTTTTGTACAACATACGAGCACATTATATTAAAAACTTGTTTTCAAGTCTCGTATACTTACATTGTGTTTTATGGTATCAAATTATTGTCAAGTAACACCTTTTTACCGGAGACTTAATTTATCATAAAATTAAAAGAAAATAAAAGATGAAAGATGCGTTTACATTATCACTTTTTTTATTTTATTTTTTTTTTTTTTATTTAATAAAAATAGTTGATTTAATTTCAAATCTTTTATGTTTATTTCAAGTTTGTTTTGAATGAAAATTGTATAATATGTTTATGTGAATGTAAACACTATACAGAATTTATGATAAATGACACATAATCATAGGAAAAGAATCATAGATCTTTTATTTTATGAATGCAATATACTTAGATTAAATGAAATAAAAAATAGAATTATGGGTTATGGGAAAAATTTCTATCATATTTTTATGAAAAATCTTTGAAATTGATTTATTATATTGTCTGAAAAACTGAACTAATAATATAAAAGTTTGGAATTAAATCATTTTTAATATTTTTATATGTTATGGAAGTATTTAAGAGGCTATGGTTTGTAACAACAATGTTGTATGATTAATTGATTCAAGCTATTTAATTGAGTTTAATAATTAAATAAATTATTTATTATAATTTTAATAAAATTATTGCTATTTCACTAACTTTTAATTGATAAGATCCAAATGAAAATTAAAGCAAATGCAGAATAGAATTGTTTAGTTAAAAATAAGAAGTTGCCCACTTTCTCAGTTCTAATTTCAAGAAGTGACATATTTGAATTTCACATAGCTCAACTTAAATTTTGTCAAAATTTGATTAATGTGGTGAAATTAATTTTTTAGTTAGATGAACAAATACTTATTTCAAAAATTAAATTCAAAATTGAAACTTGATTTTAAGCAGTGTTTTTTTTAAATTCACACAATTTTGAAATTTTTACAATTTTATCTATGTTTTTCAAAATTTTAATCAATTTCTTTTATTTAGAATCAGATATTATGGGTAAAAAGATAAAAATATTGTTTATTCGAGCTAAATTCAATGTTCAAATTTAATTTTTCCGAATTTTACCCTAAGAAAATATTTCAAATATCAGAGATGTAGCTTTTATTTTTTTTGTATGTTATATAGTAAATTCCTTATGAGAACAAAAATATCTAGTCTATGAGACTAATGGTGTCAATATTTTTTGCAAATTGATTGAATAGTATGATTGAATTCAATTAATTTCTATTGATCGAAAATTATTAAAGTCAAATTGTTAAAATTACATTAATGTAGATATTTATATAATGCTTATCAACTGTACATAATCCAATAAAACTATACTAGAAGTTTTATTTCAAAACAATTCCTCAGAAACCATACCAATTAATTTTTATTTAAGTACATATTTATTTCAAAAATTATTTTGATAATAATGATAGAATCACTAAAGAGTTTTTCAATTACTAGGATTTTTTTTGTGGCAACAATGTTGTACGGAATTTATAAAAATTTTAGTAAATTTGGGGTAAATTTATAATGAAGAAACATACAATTATACAAAACAAAATAGCTCCATTGTATGAAATATACGAAACAAAACCAATTTTAGAGCACAAATTGGTCGCATGGGCAAATTTAAAAGAGAGGGGCGGGATTTTGTCTAAAAAGTAGTTTTACTTTAGCTTTAATAGTTTTGAAGTTGTTACTCAGTCTTTTTATTAAACCCTATGAATATGACCTGATGTCCATCTCCTCTTTTCACCACCATGCACCGAAATAATTTGTTTCTTAAAAAAAGTCTAATCTCTCACCCCTCAAATAATATCAACTTCGAACCATCCTGTCTAATTGTGTCATTGCTTTATTATTAATATGTAGAATCAATAAATATTAATTGTCATTATTATTAATTGTATTTAACTTTCTAATTATTCAAAAGTTCTCGTAGCACAAATGTAATTCTTTGCTTTATTTAAATATACAATATGACCTTATAATGATCTCCTTAGCATGTAACCCTATGCCAGCTTTATTTTTAATCAAAAAAGTTATCTTTTAATACGAAAAAAAAATTTTTTTTTTTTTGGAAGATAAAAATAAGATATAAAAATTTAGTTCCTGTCACGCATTCCACGTTTCCTCTTTTCTAATCTAATTCAATTGAAAAATTATATTGGTAATTATTATAATCGACAAAAATTCAATTAAAAAAGTATTATCAAGCCAATTAGAATGGCTGACAAATTAATAAAATTTGATACAAGTGTTTGTAACAATATAGATATACATATAATAGCAGATGCAATAGATTTATTTCAAGTGTTGCGCTAATTTTA